CCTACACTGTGCAGCTGGGCAGGAGATTTCTCTTCTGTCCCCATGGGCAGAGTTACTCCACCGTCAGACCAGTGGAGCGGACACCTAATACATAATGCCTGATGTGTGTTTGAAAACTGTCGCACCGAAGCCTTGCTTCCCCATAGCAATGATGCTTGATGTTTCAATGTCTCCTCACACTGAAATTCAATTATATTGTTTAAATCTCTAGATGAACCAGATCCTGGAAAAAGAATTTGTCAGTTGGGCTGATGATCATAGCACTGACATAAGCTGGGAGCTGTGCAAAGTTCAGCCACAAAATTTCCCTGCCTCACAAAGCAGTTGAGTTTTTAGCTATTTTCCATTCCACAGTGGGATAGGATTTCTCGTGATATTAATTTGAGAGAGACAGAAACTTAGTCAGAATAATAAGCAGTACTTGAAGTACTAACCAAGGAAGTGAGAGAACAAGTCCCTGCTCAGCCTGATGGGGACTATGTAATCAAAGCTGGTCTCTGACTCCAGTGATGCTCTAATTATCGGACTATTTGAAGGTGTCCCCCAGTTTCTCATGTATTACAGACATAATTAGCCTGTATTAAAGACATAATTAGTGGGCAAGGGAGAGCAAAATACTGACTCTGCAGTCCAATAGTCTGACACTCATCTGAGCATTGGGGCATCCAGGTGTGAGCTGCTTTGATCACAACAGGAGTGCCCTGGCCACAGAAAGACTGGCTAACCTGAAGTTTACATGTGTCATCAGAAAATTTACTTCAAACTGAGAAACACTGCACAAAATATGTTTCACTTGGAATATTTGTTCAAAGTCCACCTTTTGATCAACTGGTATTTTCCAATGAAACTTCGTATTTTCTGAGAAAATTCTTAGGCAGCTGTAGCTGTCAACACATCTAAAGTGCGATACTGCCCTCTGATAGCTGGCACGTATGTACCTCAGTGTATCAATTTCTGCATTTTCATGCAGCCAGAGAAGCCAGCCCATTTCCTAAGCTACTTGCCAATACATCTTACATACAAGGAACAAGAACCTTTCTTGAAGTATCGTATGAACTTAGCTCCCGGCTACCTCTGTGTCAATGCCATAAGCCTATTTTTCAATCTCACTCATTCCCCATAAGAACACAAGACTTGCAAACACATTTGGCTATTTAAGTTATGGGCCAATGATTACAGGCTTCTAATCGCAATGTTCAATTTGAATAATCATTTAAATTCATGTAAAGAAGCCATTTCTAGGGTTGACCTGTTAGTGTTATGATTGCTCCAACTTATAGTGGAAATTCAAAAGACTACGGATATAGTATGAACTTGAAATTTAAGTCCCTTCAGCGCTCTCATATTCCAGTTAAGCAAATAGCAAACTTTCATTTTAATTTCTGGCTTTTCAGTTTTTGTCTTGAAAAAAAAATGACATAGTTACACATAACATAAACAACAAGTAAGCAAAATTAAACAAATGAAGAAAAAGGTGTGTTTAAATATAATACACAACCACATGTACTACAATCATTTTCATCCAATGAAAATGTGTCATGTTTCCAATATAACATGCAGCACACACATAAAATTTACATTCTGTTTGTATGCAGACTTGGCACAATTTTTGAAACCCCAGTCATCTTGCAGGGCCCTACATTTACTTCTGAGCTGCTTCACTGAAAAAACAGCATTTAGAAGAAGCTTGTGGGAGTGGGGAATCTGTTAACAACTCAACAAAAATACTAATCTCCTCATGAAGTTCAGTGTGGGAAGACCTATAAACTGAGGACTGATGTGGAAATCTATTTGCTTCATGAACTGTGCTGTCAGGGAAAGGATGTGACAAGGCAAGGTTTGCAATTGCGCCGACAAGCACTGGTTGGGAGGATTCTCCAATTATCTCCAAACAGGTTTTGCAAAAGGCTTTTTTTTTTTTTAAGTAGAGGCCAAAGTGACACTGTTCGCTGACGTTCCAGTGGGCAGGCACCCTCATAGCTATCTGCAAAGTGCACTTGGGAGGTCTTCCGCCTCCCTGGCGAGCTGCTCACCAACACCCCTCCGTCCCTCACCCACCCACGGCGGTGGAACCAACCTGAGAGGCTGCCACTCCTTTCGGAGCTGTTGTGGGAGCTGGTGGTGCTGAAATCCTGTGACTGGTTGTGTGGCAATCTATTAGCCAATCCCTCAGCCACGCGGTAGTCAGGGATGTAAAGCAAGGCTAAGGGTTAAAGGGCAGAGGTCACAGTGGCATCGTGTGATTAGTCGACAGCACAAGCACATGCAACACATGCAGTTAGCAAGTCAACGGCAGATGTGGTGGGGCAGCAAGTTTTAATTTTTTTTTTTTAAATGTATACCTATCCTAGCCTAATGGAAGGCAGATGGCTTGGTGATTAGCACAGGACAAAGAGGATTAAACGCACAGAACAATATATTTTATGATTGTGTGAGGTTTGGCATGCATGCAAGGTATGTAAGCATTAGTTACGGTAAATATGAACAGCGTCTCACATACTAAAAAGATTTTTCTAATTCATGCATAGATGATACAGTATAAAGCCAAGGGCCATGGAAAATAAGAGTTGTAATTACCATTGTTGCCTTTGCCTTGGTCTGGGAGAGAGTAACCAAATCCCATCAGGTCATTTTTTTGCTGAATTGAGCTTTTCCACTGAGGATCAGGTAAGTCGACAGCCAACTCATGGATGCTGTTGGAATGCAGTATCTGGGTGGTGGCATATGGCGTGGCTTGCGTTATTTGGCTGGAACTGTTGTAACTAGTTTTCGTGGTGAAGTCAATGCTGCTGTAAATGGCTCCATCAGAAAGCATAGTAGCGGTTTTATCTCCTTGCCCTGGCACTGGTGGCAGCACATCTGTGGTGAACATAGGGGAATGAAACAAATCATTGATGCACAGGAAGCCCGAAAGTATCAAGGTTTAAGATGAAAAATAAATGTGTCATTTTGCACGTTTGCATTTCAGCTGAGACAGGTCCATGAGCCAACGAAGGGAAGATGATGTACAACCATCGCCAAGCTATCAGCATCTGTGACAGGCCTACCACTTGTCCTTCACGTCTCACTGCCTAAAACCATCTTTTTTTTTTTTCATACCTTCAACTGTGAAAGTGAAGTTTGGAATATTTCTCTACTGAAGAACGTTTTCAATTGTTCACTCTGTGTCAGAACCAATGAAACTGTCTGGGCTTCAGGGAAATGATGAAAGGAGTGAATCTACAAATTGCAGAGGAAACTTTCCCAGCAAATATGTAGCAAAACTCTTAAATGGATGCCAAAGCTCTCAAAGCAATTTTTTAAGGGCATCACCTTGACTTCCTTCAAGTTTTATGCATCAGTTTTAATTTTCTTTTTGACATTAGCTAGTACATTTCTCCTTTTCAACAAAAGAAAAACCTGACAAAAACAAGTTGTTCCTGATATCTGAAAGAAAACCTGTTATTCTGAAGGGATTTAAGTGATCAGTTTCCTAAAATGGCAAAGCAGTGTTGATAATGGAGAACAACTTGTTCAAATACTCCAGTACATTTACCTGAAAAACAGTACAGCATATTTAACTAAATATCTGTTGACTTTTCTACATCTTTTGAATCCTATCACACACTGCAATTTGTACCTTTAATCAGATAGATTGGCAATCTCTCTCTTTACTAAACATTGTAGTGACCTTTGCTGGTAGAATACTAGATTTAGAAGCTGAGACTACTGAAGTGTGAAGAATCTAATGATGACTGGCATGACGTCCCAAGGAGAACCACAGCTCAGCAATAACTCTCTTCCTGCTCTCTCAGAGGTCAATATATCAAATTGTACTATTTTTACAATTTATTTAGACTCTGAAAAGTTGAATCCATTCTGGAATTTACTTGTTAGAAAAATGCATCATTTATATATGCCTTTTGCTTTATATAGCCAGATGGCAGATATGGATTCCAGCTGTTAGATTGTACTTGAGATAATGCATACTCCTATAGTGAGGATGTTCAGATCCCATTCTAGGTATCACAGACATTTTTATATACCTTAACCCCCAAAGAGAAAAGATGATTCTTGCACCTAGACAAGGGTTTAGGCTCAGTTCCAGACTCAGACATGGGTTCTCTGCAACTTCAGGGAATACAGTTGTTCTCTCACTGTCTCAAGACTTTTCCAGCAATGAGATACGATTCTATGGCCTTTTTTTTTTTTTTCTGGGATGAACATATAGATCACAGAACTATTTTCTACTGCATTCATGTGTGCAACAGTGAACATTTTAATATGGACCCTAATAACATCTGCAGTCTCAGGGCAACAATATAATATTAACAATAAATATGGCAACAACAAGTGCTCAGTAGAGAGACTGCAGAAACAGAGATTAAATTTGGGTCTCTCACTATGATCTGTTTTTGCAGACAACAACAACAGGGAAATGGGCACAATCAAGTATTTAAAATGCCTTAATTGTATTAACTTACATTGGCAGATAAATTGTAAGTGCAAAAAAATCACAATTAATGTAAACTACAGGTCATATTTCAAAATCAGGTCATTACTATCTATCTGCACATATCCAATGTGCCTTCTAGGGGCAGTACACAATTATAAAAGCGTCTATGTCCAGATACAGTATGACATATGAGAGACAAGCTAAGTCCTATCTTTCTTGCATTTCATCCACAATATGAAGATTTTTCCTTTCCACATTTGGTTTCGTCAAAGTATAATGGATTGAAGTTTAGTAAATAAATTTTGTTCTTGATGTACAAAATGAAGCAAGTCCAGCTCAACCTGTCTGTGTTGGGTTTGCAGACTCATGCAAGTAAAAACTAGCAAAATGCTCATCTCCCAAGTACCCAGACATACATCTATCTTTTAGAGCATGTTTCTCGTAACTGAAGAGGTTATCATCTCTATACAGTCATTTTAAAATGGAGAACTATACATTTGCACACACTTGAAAGGAAAGTTGCATAGCTTCCCACCAGCCAAGAATTTTCAGTCATTCTTACTAATAAGCCGAGGTTCTCTAGACATCTGGGAATTTTCAGTACAACCACAGATTACTTTTTTGACCTCAATGAGATGTATACACTAAACACTCCAAGAGCTATTAAAGTGCCATAATCACCTAGTAAAAATCAAGTGTGATTTTCCCACCAAGTTGTCATAGCAAGAAAACCACGTATTTCAGACCAAAGACGAACACACATTTCCCACTGTGCACTTCCCCCAAAATTCTCCAAAATCCAACTTGTTTTGTAACTCTTCAGATGAATGAAATAGTGCTGAAGTACTTCCTGAGGGAAGCTCTTTCTTGCTGCCCTGGGAGACGCAGTACCACTTTGTGGCCTTATGTGACTCCAAACCTAACCTGCACTTCCCACTCACAGCCTTGCTCTCAAATACCTATCTAGGACGTAACGTGGATTTCACTCTTAAAGGCAATGCTAGAGCTGCCTGCCTCAGCTTCTGAGTTTCCAGAGTGACTGATTACCACCTTACTGTTTTCAAAATTCTGACAGACCTTTTATATTATCACAGACCTTTTAACCAGTAGAAGAGGCCCAAATTCTATCTCTACAGTTAATTCATGTTAAAAGACATCTGACTTCTAATCCATCTTTAATGCAGAAGCATCCAAACTCAACTGCTGAAACACATAGGGATAAGTGGCCCCAAAACTTTCAGAATAAAAGTGTGAGCTCAACTGTAAAGATCATGGGTGGAATTAAGCTGCTGAAATTCCAAATATAACTGTTGCACCTCTTGGACAAATTTGGACCTATGCCTCATCCACATTGAAGCCAAAAGCTTTAAAACATGTTTCCAATTTCAGTCGTATAGAGCCAAATGCTAAAAGAAAATGGTAATTTTTCTGTATTATGTGAGCTTATGGAAAGATGGAAAAGTACTGAAAGGTTTTATTTTCAAGATATTCACAACAAAGTAGCCGGCAGATATTCAGTTGCCTTCTAAATATCATCAAAAGTTTTTGCTTACTTTATAATATTTTTTCTAAGACAGGAGCTTTACAACATTTTAATACGGAAAATAAATCTACAGTGTTTTCTTGTAATTTGAAGTCGCAGTAGTCAAACCACAGGCAAGAAGTTTTGCATAGGAACATATAACCGATGTGAGGGATGGTTTTCAGAACCAGATTCTGGTACAGTTAAAAACTGAATTCTTTTCACATTTATCAGTTTGATGGTTTTATAGATTTTTTGCATTTTAATGTATTTTTGATATATAAAGTTGTCTTGAGTTTTGTTTACTTATGTCTTAAAAATATTTATATACTCATTTACATTAGAAAATCTTGTTCTAAACACCACTATGCAGAACTATCTGCATATATATAGGCATACATAACAACACAGAAACCAATGAAGTAACAGAGAGATGTGAATATTACTGACTTTTAAAAATCCCAATCATACATCTTGAAATTCCCATTTGAGTAAAATGTTTGAAAGAAAATAACCCCTCTAAAGATTCATCATCATAATTATAAATCATTACCTCAGCTCCCCAAAGGGCCTGCCTCAATTCAAAATGGAAATAAAACCCGAAAAAATCTAAATGGATCCCTTTTTGTGTATTCTTTCCTCCAATAAGAAGGAAAGTTTCTGAAGACCTTTGAGGCCTCTTCATGGATCATGGCTGAGACTGAGAGCAGTCCCTCAACAGGAAGGGGATGGGTAAGATGACAGCAACAATGTTGTTCTGTCCTTCTGCTGAAGGAACATCCTCTCTGCATCCCCCGATTTCTCCTCTGCTCTTATGGACATCCTCTATCCCTGGCTACATTGCCCTGCACAGCAGATTGCTCATCTCCACACAAAAGGGAATGAGTCTGAGCAACAAATACTTTTCTCTTGAGATGATAACCATGCCCCGTCTCACCACTGTGGGGTAAATTACAAACTAGATCTACATTTTAAAGAAGCAGAAAGAGACAAAGCAAAATGAATATTTTAAAGTCGATTTTAAATCAAATCTGGAGTCAAACATAGAAAGAACTATAATGATAAAAATACTACACAGTGCTTATCATAGATGTTAACTAACAGAAGCCTATACTATATACTATAGTATTCATATACTATATGGTGACTTAATAAAACGAAACGTACCTCCACGACCAAAATTGCCAAGATCATTGGGTCCACTAGTGCTGTTGTTTACTGGCAGACTTGTGGCAGGCCAAGAGTCTGCAAGCCAAGGATAACTGGGGTCACTTGCATTCAACAGACCTGGTCGACTGAAGCAGAATAAGAAAAAGAGATATACATACAAATATATATATTTTTACACAATTAAAAAATCTGTGAGATAACTAGTGATTGAAGAGACCATATCACTTTTCTCCTAACACCGTAGGTAGCAAACAGTTTCGGAGACTTTAATTTATTTCAAATTAAAATTGTGCAGCCTTTGATGATTTAAAGACCTTGAGCAGTTAATTAAGGATATATACAAATCAACTTTGTCAGTAGAAGTGGGACTAGGCATCCGTCGTGATTCTGCCAGAATCCAAATGAACTCCGTTGTCTGTGTGAAACAGGGGTTAGGCAGGACCATCATGGGATCCTACAACAGGGCTGCATGATAAATTACCACCTCAAGGGAGCCATCACTCAAACTGATTGCTCCGTATCAGCCATTTCCAGGACTTTGGGCTACTATTTCTTCCTTCCCTTGCATCCCAAATGCATGCCTGTCATCTACAGGCTGGTAACTCTTTCTTTGAGCACTCTCGGATGGTTTAGAGGCAAACAGGTTTGAGTAGGATTAATGGAAAGTCCACAGCTATCTTTATCTGCTACTACTGCATGGCTTTTACAACGCTGTAATTCCCAGCTTTGAGAGCAGTATTAAACAGCCAGTATGTTGAAAGAGAAGGTACACTCCGGCCATAAGGCACCGTGTCTCTCTCACCCCAGGGTAAACAGCCAGAAATTTAGCAAGGCAGGTGGACTGTTTGTATTTGTATTTAACAGGGAAAACAAATCATTTCCTGCAGACACCTCCTCCCCCCAAATAAACCAAAAAACCAGCCACTGTTCTGCAGCTTTTCTAGGTTATTAATGCACTCATGAAGTTGGAGCAACATCTCCAATCATTGTACGTTATAGACCCCCGCCTGGCACAATCCCTAAGAGAAACATCCGTTTCTATGGAAACGGCAATAAGAAGACCCAGTCTCTTTCTTGCCACATCTACTCGCTCTCATTAGGCCTAATCTCTTTTTGCTAAAATATTGATTAAAAGGGAGATTGGAAGTTATTACCAAGGCCTAATTACAATCTCCATATTGGCAAAGGGAAAATAGATGAGGATATATGGGCCCGTTATCAGCTTTTATCAATTTCAATTGAGTAGCCAAAGTTGTGGAATCCAGTCCTATCAATCTACAGCCTATTCATCATCCATGAATCATTTATTTTGTGATCGATTAAGTGTAATTGTTCACTCACAGCAATTTAGGGGGAGCCAATAAGGAGTCTTAAACAACAGCAACTTCATTTGCTAATGTCTAATTAATGCAATAAACATCCCAGTAACAAATGAACACATTCCTTGTGATATTTACTACTCATTTCTTCCAGGGCATCTGGGAGATATGAAACATCTGGGCTTGATTCCTCCAAAGTGCACAACAGATAGGTCATTAAACCTTGTGGTAAGCTACTTAACTCCTCCTAGCATTGTCAGTCTTCCAAATGATCGGTTACTACCCAAGTGCATCACCTATAGCACTTTTGAGATCCCTAATTTTAAAAATAAATAGGATGGAAAGACCTTTATACAAAGAAACATACCTTCCATTGCTCATTAGTCCTCCATCTCCTCTTTGGAAAGTGACTGTGTTTTGGTCGGAAAACAAAACGAACAAACATATACACACACACACACATGCACACACATATAAGACAGGGAAAAATCAATTAGTAATAATTAAAAGTAACAATTCAAACTACTCAGTGTCTGAGATCGGAGGTCTCTTGGCATCATCACATAATAAAGTACAGAAAATATGAGAAAAGGATCAAACACATCAGGGTTACAATTTGTTTAGGATTTCACTGCACCGTATTGACTAACATCAATTTGCTCTGCAGCGTGCAAGGCAAACCAGACGCCTGGGTAAAAGGCCCGAATTTACTGCAGGCCCCTTCATATGACTTTGTGTTGCAAGACTGTGCCATGTGATGAAATTGTTTTCTTGGCATGCTTTTGCTTCAGTACATAATGACATTGCGCCAGTGAGTTAATAACATCATGTCGTAATGCAGTAATATAATGTCACCACACAAATATGCCATTTCCCAGGACAAATACAAAGAAGTGGCAGCTCTATTAGAGCTGAAGGGGTGAATAAAAGCATACAGCTGCACCGTTTCCATTAAAAGTACAGTATAAGAACCAGCACCCACACACAAATGCATACATGCCAGTATCCCTGGGAAGAAAAAGTGCTTCCAGTCTTGCCATGGGGGATGCCAAGGATACATTCAGAGGGAGACAATTGTTTTTATGGCTCCATTCATGGGTGTTTGACAAAAACCAGCCTATCCCTTATCTATCTTATTAACAGGATTACATTTCAGGGCCATATAGGTAAACCCGTATTACTGGTGAGATGCTAATTGACAACATTTGGTGCTCCTGTTTGAAGCACTGGCAAATATTTTGAATCAAGGCCAACAGACTACTCTGATTCTCAGTGGCAATATCCCATTATTTATTGTCAGGCACAGATAAGGCAGCCTATTAAATTATATCAGTGTCCTGGACACCTGCATCCTTACAGGCCCCTGACAAGATGAAGGTTCGAATTTCAGAGAGGAATGCAAGAGTCTATGGCCAGTTTAATTTAAAATAGGCCTTCGTTTGGAAATACTATTTACCTTTGTAAGACATTCCCATCATTAAATTACAGCTCCCATAGTATTTGCAAGATTTTCCAAATATTAGCCCAAACTACACTAACTGAAGATTAGGCTTTCTATTATACACCATTCTAATCAGACAAAATTGCTATACCCAACAGAAATGCTGCGATCATTAAAAAAATTAGCAATGACATAAATCCACTGGGAAAATACTTCTGATACCTCATAGAATCCTTGTCACTTTATGAAGTCCTAGGATAATTTCAGAGTCTACATTCAGCAAAGGGGACAAAACTGGCCCCTCTGGAAGCCCTGCTGGAAGAGTGCTTGGGTAGGGTGATTAATTACCCTTCACTGCAGAACAGACTAATATCAATATCAGAAAATCGCTGCAGTCATATGTCACATCAAAATGGTTAATAGCTGAATTTTGAAAGGATGTAATCAAACCAATTAATGAAAAGAAAATCAAAATGCAAGTATGGGAAGTATTAAATAAAAGTCTGCTTTGAAAACCAAGACATGGTAAAACATTGCAGCTAATTAATTTTAGAGCCAATGCTACTTTCATTCACGTTGGTTCTAACAGGCTGTCAAATGACTGTCACTCCTTGCTTAAAAGCGAATAATCTGAAGTGCTGTGGATATCATATGTGAATATGCAAAGAGGTGGGCACTGCCTGGCTATGTTTCAAAGTATGTTGGTCAAAAGTACATTAGATGCTGTTTCTTTTCTCCTCCTCCCCTTTAAATTTAATACTCCAGTTCTCCAACTTTCTGCATTTGTCAAAGCAACAAGAAATAAGGAAAATGAGAAACAAAGGCACAGTCGGTAACAACCCTTATAAATAAAATTTATACATTTAAGGGAATTCCAGTAAAACATATTTTCTGAAAAATTCTTGGGATTAATGCTCTTGTTTAGACTATCATCTACCAGAAATATTTTTAAAGTAATATTGTCACCACTTGTATAGCATGTACAGGTGTGTGAGATTTTTATATATTCAAAGTATTTATATCCCTTGTGTACCTTTATAAAGCAAAGCTAAAATGGGGGAGCTGGTAGGAGATTGCAGCAATGTTTGCCAGACACATTTTATTTTCTGTGTAGTGAGGTATGGAAAAAACTCCAAGGCATGCTGTGAGAAACATATCAAGAAGACATGACATCGAAACCTCTTCACTAGAGCCATAATTGCCGCAGGTTGGCTGTGGCATATGAGCTTGTTGAGAAGAGACAGGTATCACAGCATTTACTCTTTTCTATTCTATCTGTGTATCCTGGTGGTAGTAACTGTTTCCTGGTTTTTTCCTACATTAAACCATCTTACACCCTCCCAATACGACATTGTTTTTAGAAGAAAGCTTCAGCTTAGTTTATTAAAAAAAGAACTTGTCTTGCAGTGACATTGTTTTTCCTGGGGAAGACTGTGCCTGGCTTATGTGATGTTTATGGAACTGGGAAGGAATACAAGTTCTTTCATTTACCCTCCACCCTGTATGCCAATGCACGGATGGTTATAATCTTCATGAGAAAATAAACAAGAAAGTATTTTAGTTACTATTCTTGCTGGAAAAGGCTCCAGAATATCAACTAAGCTAGCCAAAATTCCTCTTGAAGTGTGGACATGTCATCAGGATGTTATGGAAAAAAAATTGCATTCCTGATGCCATCCATAAATGGGCTACCTGAGGCTGCACAGAGAAGGTGTCTTTCTTTTAGCATCAATATTGTGAAAGGAAAGACAGCTAACAACGGAAGATATGGCCAGGCTGCCAACACAAGCACTATGTTTATCATTCCTGCCATACATTTTGTCAGCATTTTTGCCTGCAGTTTGATTTCTGCAATTACAAAACAAGTCTAAACGCCTGAATAGGAGCATACTTAATGCAATGCAGGCTTGTAGATGTCACTGTAAAAATAAAACACACAGACAGCTGGCTTTATTCATCCTGTCTCCACTTCAAAAAGAGGCAGAGCAATTTCAAGGGGCAATGTAAGAGGAGGAAGGGAAGGATGTCCCTATCACTGACCCACCCATCTCCCTTGCTTTTTATCACTGAGGAAGCAAAAAAGCTCTTTCAGCACTCTTTGCATCTGATATATGTTCTTAGAAAGGCTGAAGACCTGCAGGGATGAGATTGGTTTTCAAAAGAAGATGAAAAAATAACCTCTGCATAGAGAGATTTTGAAGGAATCCCCACCAGCTTATGCTTCAAGGACTGTAAAAATGCAAAAATATAATCCAAAGTGCATTTTAAATGCATAAATTTTTAAGGAAATTATATTGTATATATTTGTATGAAGAAAAGCATACGTTAAGGAGCTTTTCACATGCTTTTTATTAAATATATAAGGAGGTGCCCAAACCATTTACTAATATTATCTAACAAGGTTAAACTTAATCTCCATGCCTGCTAGAATTGGAAAAATACAAATGTATAGTAAGTTGACATTCTGAGGCAAGAAAGCTTTAGAAAGCTTTAGAAAGCTTTCTGTATGCCTATCTCTAGCAGGCCACATTTTCCTACTGCAAATGAAAACTTTAATGTTGCCAGCCAAGTCTCATTCCTTTTTCTGATAAGCTGTTCCTCAAATATGAATGTAGATTAATCCTCTTTTAATAAGCATTAACTCAGAACAGATAATCAGTGTATAAAAATGCCATCAAATCTTCTGTCTGCCTTTGGATGATTCTGTCAAATAATTTATCCTCATTTAACAGTTTCAGGAGTTGTGCATAAAATGTGTAGCATTCCATAATTCTCTATTTTTCATTTGTTTTTGTTTACTCAGTTTCATGAAATCTTTAATCCCAAGGAGCACTAGTCACTAAATAAGCTTACCTACTCATAAGTGAAAATACATATTTACTTTCTTTGCATGACTGATGGCCTAGACACTTGAAAACACCTGAGCATTCAAGTAAGTGGGTACTGGCACAACAATGAGTTTGAGGGCACAGGAAAGATAAGCAGATAAATGAAATTTCTTTTATTTCTACAAATGGATTCCATGCCTTTGTTGTCTAAGTCCTTATACCAAAATGTGAAAAGAGAATTGCAACTTTCAGTACAAAATAAACAAATGCTATTCTGTCATTGTAATATGGGATCGAAACAATTCATCTATTACACAAGAAGTCGTCAGATATCTCTTTTGTGCAATCTATCTTTTCTTGTATCATGTAGAAACCCGCAGTGCATGTTTATATCCAAGCAATCTGACTAAAGGGTAACCATAAAAATAAAAAAAACCCTGTGCAGCAGTACTTTAGCTTTTATAGAACCTTACAAAAGTAAGACTAATCCATCCTTTATATCACAGAACAGATGACTGAAAAGGGGCAACATTTGTATTTAGTGTCTCTGTGCCAGATTTGGTTTTGCTGAGAGTATGTCACTGTCTCGAAAATGTATACTTCTTGTACAGCTGCAGATGACAACACTACTACTTACTAGTAGTAATCTAACAAACATAGCCCAAAATCATATGTTTTGTAGTACTGATATCACCGAGAATCAATGCCTGGTGAGTCATAATGGGGGAAAGGGAAGTGGAAGAATAGTGATGTACAGAATTGTGGCTCAGTTCAACTGTAAACAAAGTAAAAAGATTTAGCTATAATTTTCAATGTCACTTTTTTTGTGACCATCTGAGCAATCAATCAGTGCTTATCAAAATGTTCACAAAGACAGAAAGCTTAAGGAATTTAACTCAATCAATTATTCTTCTCCGGCACAAATCTTTACCAATTGCGTGACGTTTGCTGTTTGCTCTTCTCATACACAGAGTGTTACAGTAGTTTAGTCACACAGCAGAAATTATACCTCTTAGGAGCCTAATAACAGAATACAAATAACCAATAGTCCCAGTGAATGACCCATAATCTGAAAACGACCTGAAAGAACATTTTTAGCAAGTAATTATATAACTGCAGAATCCAGGCTTTTAAACAACTATTTTTAGTGTTTTAAGTTCTACACATATGCTAATTCAACCGAAGAAAAACAAAACAAAAAACATTCACATCAGAAATAACTGAAAAAATAGTTTTTTGTTTTGTGTCTGAAATAGAGTAAGTATATGAATGTTCCACTAATACATTCAATTCTCTTTATTACACAGTCAAATCTCCACATTCTGAAACTTTCTGAAGGAACAATTTAAAGCAGATGTCTGAACAAAAAGTATGCGCCTTCTAAAATCTGAGCATATTAGGATAAATTCATCTTTAGTAAAACATTATTGACAGCTGTGTCTGATGAGATTCTGAAACCTACATACCACTGTCTAAATATTTAGGTCTGGAACAAAACAGTTTAGGAGTCATAACTTTGAAGGGAACAACATACAGTTGTGAGTGTCATCAAACTTCCAGAAGCATAGATATGTTTGTCTAAATTACATTACCAATGGCAAATTCAAATATTAGAGAATTAACGAGGTTTCTTAGGGAACTCTGGGTTTAAAGATAAAAAACATGGACTATGTTCTTTCATAAGAACAACATTTTTTTTAAATGAATGATTTTTTTTTTGGACTTGACCACTGGATGACTTAGGTTCTCATTGCCTCCAGAAAGGATTATAGGCCAGGAAATAGAACTATGTGCTGTTATAGTTCTATAAAGTCCATGAGATGTCAAAACTACTTTTAAGAAAGCAAATTTTTGGCAGTGACTCTGACATATCCTAGTTGCCCAGCACATGTGGATCAGCTGTGCTGAATCACGCACAGTCACTGTGGCTCCAGCACAACCCTGTGTCATGCCAACGTATGCTACAAAGACAATGGAAAAAACTCACCACAGTTACAGACAGCTGACAGTGGCATAATCATAGGAACCAAATGCAAAGATGCATTATTTCATTTTGGAAAAAATTCTATATTGTGTCTCAAAGAAAAGCAAGTAAAGCATTTAGGGTAGGATGTGTTGTGCCACGACTTACACTAACTTGCACAAACCTGCCCAGAAGCCAGAGGAGCAATTCCTGAGCCCCCAGAGCTTCTCCACGAGGACACTTCTCCCTCACAATGTCACAGGCCCCTGGGGTAGACACCATCACCTTCACTCATCTGCCTCAACAGTCATCTGCTCTTTCCTGCTAAGCTAAACACTCAAGCTGTGGCTGAAGATAAGCAAGAACGAGAAAGCAGCTAGCTGAGCATGAGGACCAGTTCAGTGGTGCAGTAGGAAGACTGGCCTCTATCACATGGATGGCAGAGGGGACAGAAGAAGAGAGAGCTTTGGTAAGTGCAACTGAGGGGGCAAGCTACACGCAAAAACATTTACAGACTTCTGAAAAATGCTGAGATTTATTAGCCTTTTATACTGTAACACTGAGGTATAATTATCTCTGAGTTTTTGAATCTTGGGCTTAGGTATGAGAGCAGAGGCTAATTATTTGTATTAATTATTACTATTAATTGTATACTCTATTTTTCCTGGCTATCCATATGTTGACTAAGCTGTTTGCAACCTGCTGTTTCAGCCACACTTCATTTATTCTTTACATATCTTTAATCATGCTTACGATGATAGTCTACCGTATGCCATGTTCATTAAAGATAGGAAAACTAGGATATCAGCTTTGAATTGGGCAGGCAGAAAAAAAGCAAATGGTTCAGTTCCAGAAACACTGTAAAGGCAATGCATGCATAGGTTAATCACTAGATTGCTTGAAGATCTGAACACCTCATGGTAAGGCCAACGTATATGCAACTAACAGCTAAAGTCGGAGAAAGTTCCATTGCTCTAGTTAGATCTTTAAAACTATTTGAGATACTTTTTTTGAGCTTTAAAATCAAAATTCAGTTATGTATGACTAATGCTTGTTTATGTTAAGTTAGTTCAAGCATCTTGTCTTGCAAATTACTTTCAAAACTGCATTATTTTGAGGAGTTAGATGAGTAAGAAGTATGCAGAATTACAATGACAGAGACATTAAATGGTGGTAGATTTTATGTTCCCCTGGAATCACTAGGAGAATGAATGCTACATTTTTATCACAGATAGGCAGCAGAAGTATTTCTCCTTGTACTTGGTTTTAATTCTGCATATCTCACAGGTTCATAAACACTTAGATAGCTAATGTTTGCAATGATGTGTTGGTGAGGTAAGAGACAGACTAATGGACAGTACCTGCAGGGGTGAAGGTGAAGGACTGAACTGCAAAACAAGAAAGCAAACACATTGTGAGTTACACACCCTGATAACAAGCGCTAATTGCAGGGCACGAGTTTCCTCTGGAATTTACTCAGTTGTGGATGAATATCATAAGCAGGACATAACAGTTGAGCTTAAAGCACTAACCAGCCAGCAGCCAATGAGAAATGGTGGTTGGAAAGGTGAGCAGTGAATTCTGACAGTCACATTTGAAGAATTTCTGTGTGGACATGCTATTCTCTAAATTGTAAACATTAGGATGAATTTTGAAGCATGATCTGGTATGAACTTTCTTTGCTGAAAGCATACACTATTTCATAATTCTGATGATGGGAATTCTGTGTCATGATGCAATGTTCACATCACACTTCGATGCAGCAAACATCATGAGAAGGAATGAGTTGCAGGAGACACACTGTTTATAATGACTATTACAATTATTTACAGCTATACATTTTAAGGTATAAAAGACACTGCTCTCAGTCTCCTCCCCCCACCCCCAACATACCAACTCACATACAGGGCTAAGAATTCTGCTTTTAAAAAAAAGAGTAGTCTTAGCTTGTGTCCAAATTTTATGTATAGGACTGTTTCCTAAGAGGAATAACAGTACAGCTGTCTCTTAATATGAAAAATCTTGGGATCTAGACTGATATATCATATAAACACGTGTAGGTGTGTGTGATATATAGTAGTTTCTCAGTTAACACCACCCCATCTCTCAGAGAGTAAAAGTCATTGCTGTTGAAGGAAAGAAAAAAAACAACTCAGCAAAAGGCATAACCTATGAATGATACAGACCGCATGGCAAAACAAGGTGAGGTTCCACAGAAACCGAGTCAGTCCAAGAGAAAGGGTCTCTCCTCCCTTTGTTTCCACTGCTCATCTGATTTCTTCTTGGGCCACCTTGTTTCACTAAGCCAGTGGAAAACTAATCCAGCAGGAAGGATTGAAAAACAACATAGAATAGTTTCCTTCTGGTTTAGTGAACCCAGTCAGGACATTGAGGAGTCTGATGATGGCTAACGCCAAGGTGAGGAGGCATAGGACTGTTAGGCTACAAGCAGGGAATGAACGTTGGGTTTTGGCAAGTTGTTAAAGATGCTCAGCCCCTTAAGGAACCTGTGTCTACAGGTTCGCATGTGATAACTTGTAAATAGAAGGGTACTAGTGCAACTTTAGTGTGATATAATGTCCACAGTAAACATGCTGTGTCCTCAACTGTGCAAATCTTGCTCAAAAAGGAAATGTTTTCTCTTTTTAAATGTTAATAAGCACTACAGAAGAACTTACACCAATATCTGAAGAACAGCGTTTTTGTGTTACATTAGGCTTCAGAGCGACCCATTTTATGGTAATTCACCTGACTTCCTGAAAATCCATAAGAATCCTGAAGCACAGAATAATACACAAAACAAACAGGGTGGTGGGGGGGGATATTTTCATTTGGCAAATGTATTTATTTTTCCAAATGTACTTTTCAAAAACTAATTTGTAACTGGAGCAACACATTTGGTGCAAGAGGGACCATAGTGTGAGGGCATTCTGAGGTGTTCTACCTCCAAGACAAAACTTTTTATGGCTTCTGCCATAGGTAAATTTTGACCACACTTCTCTGTCTAATACATTACTCTCTTCTCCTCCAGCTATAGGTATGAAGTCACTGATGAAGTACCTCCATTCATTTCCCATGCACATGGCTTAAAAGACATGGAAATGCATGGGAATGAAGAAGGAGAAGACCAAATACTCTTTCTAACCTTCCTTGTAAGGGTCTAGTCTGATTCACCTTTGAGCACATAAATGGAGCCGGACCACTAACAGAGTGCCTTCTGAGCAAGGAGCAAGAGGTACAGTTAATCCTCTTTGTACTTTTTTACACTAGATGTGCTGGAGATGTAAAAATAAAGACTGTCTTATGATAATGATGAAATGTGGTACCGAGCAATGCATTTAAAGCTTCTCATACACCAGCATTTTCACAGCATACATTTAAAACAAGCATACAAAATTCACCCAGGCCACCTTTGCTGTAAGTTCAACATGTTTTTTAAGTAGGTTTAGCAGCACCTGTTCTCTTCATGATAGAACCTGATGAGATGGTAATAAATAGTTATTGTTCTTACCAGCATAATTGCTGAGCCCCTTCCTCTTCTTTCTGCGCCAGTACAGCCAGATGCTGAAACCCATCAGAATTACCCAACATGCACCACCGATGCCAGCTATAAAGGCAGGCTGTTTGACAACATCAGTGATTTGCTCAGTTATGCTGTTGTTATTTTCAGTGATGACAACTTCGTTACGACCTCCTGCACAAAAGAAATTCGACAGAACGTTGTTATTACGGATTCTGTAATACAAACAGGAACCAAGTATTGCAATTGAAAATTAAAAAACCTAGTAATGCACCTCAAAAGAATTATCCACAGTAGGAGAGCTTTAATGAGTACCAATGCACACCTGAAAACCAATGTTTCTAGAAAGTAAATCCATAATCCACTGCAATTTTGCAAACATATACTTGAAAAGATAGCTCTATAGCACTGTCCCAAGTAATCTAACAGATGACAGTCCAGAGCCTTTTTTTTAATATACATGCTCGCAGTTTATTTTTACATAATTATAGGCAGAATACAACGATGAGAAAATGGATCATAGGAAACCAATCAAAAAAAACCAAAACCCAAGCAACCAATAAATAGCTTTTTCCAAATGAGAAATCCAAATACAAAATATCCTACAACATCAAAAGACAGTTCATTCTGTCATTGTTGTCAGCATGCCAAAAAGTCTTACTTAACTCATTTGTTTTTGCTGCATCCTAGAGTTTCCAAATTTAAAATAAAAAATAAAGTATATGTATTTTCAACTGGGGCAAAGATGCATTTTCCAGCAACTATTTCATGGAGAAAACAATCCATACAAATCCTAAATGCACCAGCTTTGACAGAAAGCAGAAAATCGCATAGTTAACTGTAAGCTCTAAACAATCACAGCAACAGACGCTATTTTTTTTTTTTTTTACGTAGAATAGGCATGAAAAATTCTTAACATCAACCCGTAAGAAATAACTATGACATGGAATACCAATTAAAGTGGCATGCATAAGAAATTACTATATAGGATCTTAAACTGTGTTTATGCCATTAGAAAACTGTAAATTTCAGTAGATGCTCCCATTGTTTTCCACCCCCCCTTTCTCTAAAAGGGAACTTTTCTAAAAGGAAAAGCTTGGTGTCTGGTGTGAAAGCAAATGCTCATAAAAAATGAGAATGGAAATTCAGGAAATGTTAAAGCATACCGTTCTAGGGCCAGCACTTTTCTACTTCAAACCTTCCCTTGTCAAAAATGGTTAGTTTTAAAATTAGGAAATGCGGAACACATTTTTCTGCAAAGAATATGAATATTGATTATATGTACATTTGATATTAACTGCCCACATCTGCAGTTTTGAAATTAGTGAAAGAATTATCCATCATTTCTGGTAAAAGCATTTATATAGCTCAATCCTTGAAATGTTTATGCAGTATTATCAGATGCCTGTATGCATGGTGAAGAGTTGCAAGAGTAGCTACTCTACTGAGACAAAAAAGGATGCAAATACTATGATTCTCAATTATGAGAGTCTATCTCACACACGTAAAGGTAGTAGAATATGGCAATAAAACACTGAAATGGTCATTCAGAGGAAATTATTAAAAGTGTTGTGGCATTATGCCTTGCTGTGAAAATGTATGTATCACTCTTCTATAATTCAGCAATGGTTAAATTTACCGCTCACTTCTTTCAACAGAACAGCCCCTGTGTCAGCACAGTGGCTTCAGCCTAAAGCAAACAAACAAGGTTGCTGGCTAAAGCAGATGTGCGACGTCTGACACTTCCAGTTTTATCTCCGCGGACACCTCTTTGCAAGAGATCCAGAGTTTACACCAGTCAAGTTGCGAATGAGGATCCCTGCCAGAGGGCCGGTCGGGCTGAGCGTGCCTTCCCTGCCCCAGCGCTGCCCCAGCTTCACGCCCTGCGTTGTGTTCAGAGCTGGACTGAGTTACTCTGGAAGAAATGCTATGTGCTGCATTACATTGCTATCACACTGTTAATGATCTCGGTGATTTTATTAAGCTTTCTCTCTTTCAGCACCATGTCAATATTTAATAATGATGACCGTCTGCTTTTGCAAACAGACTGTTGAAACTGTGCTAGAGCTTGGCTTGCTTTCAGTAGTTCCGTGCAAGAAACAAAACAGGCTTCCCACAAACAAAATAGGTCCCCCAGAAGGATGCTGACAGACTATGCCTGCTAATCTATAAAAAGGAAGTACACCAGTACTGATACCATGTACCAGTCTATACTGGCCATGCTGGTAAGCTTTACTAGTGTCAGGGCCTGGTAGCTGCAGCTGTCCTTTCCCATACTTTCCTATTTTGTCTTGCTCCTGCCAAAGGCCTGATGGTTTCCAGTCCTGATGCAGTAAGAGAGAATACAACTCAGTGAGCACCTGTGACAAGGAAAACAAGTGAGGCAGCAGTGGCTCCTTTATCGGATTTTCCCCTTTTTTTCTGCCCATGGAACCAATCCATAGGTGCACCCCAGTGCTGAAAGAGGAAGCGCTGAGAGTAAAACTAATAGAAAGAGGCACTCTACAGCATGCTCTTCCAGGCACACAATTGATTTTCTAGTAGAAATCAGCATGGGAGTTGATGTTGCTCTAATTGCCATTAACTTTCAGTTAATTTCTGTGCCCTTTGGAGGAGAGGTAAAAGCAGCGGGACAGTGAGGAAACAGGTAATGTCAGCGCTGCTTCAGAGGCAGCCGTGCTGCCATGGAGAAGAGCGGGAAGGGAAGGGCTTCAGAGACACTGGCTTTGGGAGCGGACGCTGCTAGACTCAAGAAAAGAACAACTGCTTTCCACTAAAGCCTCCGAAAAGTCTGAAGATCCCGTTTTCTTCTCCAAGGTCAGAAACCAGTCTTTTGAGAATGGAGGATGCGAGACCAAACTGCAGAGAGCCTGGGGAGAGCTTTCCGTGGACTTTACGTTCTCCTTCTCTTCTAGGAGAAGGTGCAATCTGTCTCCACATTACCTTCTAAAGTTTGCAGTCTGGCTGTTTGCTCTTACCCTTCAGTGCCAAGCAATTACAACTGCAAAAGTAATAACTCATTTAAATGTCAAAATAACATATGCTTTGTGAATTCGATGACTGAAAAATAAATGGATACAGATGAATGTTACCCACTGACGTTTGATAAAATTATTATAATGGTTGGGGTTTGGGGAAACAAACGGCATTAATTGTGTATTTCTTTGTATAATATTTAAGCAGAAGTAATAAATATGTCATCCAAGGTACCAGTGTACTATTTCATATACTGCAGGTGTTTCTGTAACAACGCTGTCAGTTCAACTAATGAGAACATAGACAAGGGAAGTGTGCAACCTGTAACGCTCCATTGTTCCTGAAGACAAAAACATAATGAAATATAATGTCTTCCTCCCATTGGAGAGTAATGAAGAACAAAACTAATTTGTCGGACCAAAAATTAATTAGACACATCAGATTCGATCGTACCTATTACTGTGAAAGTTTGCAGCTGTTCCTCATATTATTATGTCAATGATGGAATGTAAGAGTGAACAGGCCAACTGACGAAGAGAAATAATAGCTATACCATTAACCAGCATTGCCGTTATCTCCAATTTTATTTCTCGTTTTCCAAGTGAAATTTTTTAGCATATCAATAGTGACCATTAAAATGTTATTCTTGATTCTCTTTGAGTCTTCCATAAAATTTTTCAACGTCCTGCTTGAAGTATAGGCACAGGATTCCTGTAACAGTGACAGAATTTCTAACTAAAGAAATAATATAGATCCTACTTGGTCCATATTCTTCTGGTTTTACTTTCTGAATTGTCACAGGTCTGTTATCTAGAATTGGTCTGGGAAGTCAGTAGTTGATTATCCAGCATGAAAATCAGTTATTTTCAGAAAAAAACTTCTTCTTAGAAGAACATATCCTTTATGTAAGAATAACATATTTCTTTTTATACACTGGACTCTGTATTTCATGACCATGAAAGTCATACTGTTTAGCAACACGGCTTAACTTTTCTGCTGTTTATGTTCTTGAGTCTCAGTCAAACATTGCGTGGTACCAACTCAAATTTTCCAGAAATGGTATCACTTAAACACTGTTGCCTTTGTCAAGCAAATTTATAGTCTGAGAAATAACTGAAAGCAATTAATAAGAAATAGAAAAATGGGACCTAAAGAAAAGGGAGATACAGACCATACAAGTAATAACCACATCCAGCTTTGGGCTCGCAAAAGGAAAAACAGAAATGAGAACAGAAATACAACTGAAACAGAAAAGACTCTCCTTTACTTTCCATCCAAAGGACTCTTAAATGTGCAAAGATGCCACCAGACAGACTTGCTGAAGCAGACATTCTGGGATCATTTAAGGAACAAATAAATATCACTGTAAGTTTAACGATGTAAAGTTACGTCTCTAAATGCCAAATAACTTTTTTCTTTCTTTTGTACTTTATTGGCATCCTAACGTCCCTTTCCTCCTTCCTGCAACAATACAGATCTCCCCACATTTAACTCTTGATTATACTAGTCATTTTTTGTAAGGAAAAAGTCAGGATGAAGGGTTGTACCCAGATGCGGTGCTGAGCATTCTGGGAATCATCCAGCAAAGCACTTTGGTGCAAGTTTAACTCACAACACGTTAAGTGACACAAGGCTACTCACGTGCTTAAAATGGAACACACTTAAGTGTTTTGCTGGAACAAGCCCACTGTGTGTAGTGCCTAGCTAGATGGACTCTCTAGTGCAATAAGAAGTCCTGCTCAAAGCAAATGCAATGACAGACTAGTCTCACAACATCAGTTATTTACAGAGGTCCAAAATTCAGGCCTATTAGATGACACATTTCTTGCATTTTCAAAAATGAATTTCTTGCTTTCAGTTCTAGAAAACTTTTTCCCCTCTTTTCTTTGGTGTTTCTGTGGCTGCCTTTTTCTAAAACCAGTGCTGCCTTCACCTCCACTCTTGTATTTCCTTCTCCAGTGACAATATATTCAAAGCTGACATACCCCTATTTCTGTTTTGTTGCATAGGGAACCTGAATATCATTAAACATTTAAGCAATGCTTAGGGGACAGCCTTTTCTAAAGGCCTACACATAACGGAATAGTCCATGTTTGGGACACTGTGTTGACAACATTTTCAAGAAAGAAAATATTTAATAACAACAAAAGACTCACAAACAAACAAAAGCCCATTTAAGTAATAACTAAATTAGATCACACAGATAAAAGCAACAAAATTCCTGTATTATGGACTCAAAAGAGGTGCTGCTCTGCATAGCTCAATTCAGTTTTGCTAAATATGGTTACTTCTCGTATTTTTATCCTTCCCATATTGTTCCTGCCTTTATATTTTATACTTGAGAAGAATTTCCGAAGAAATAGAATCTGTGTTTCCCTCAGGTCAGGAAATTAATTCAGCATGGAAACCACTACTAAGGAACAGTCATTTCAAAGGCAGGGATGATAGTACTACTTTTGCTCTCTAGTTGGACTAGAGGCTGCTTATTCTTTGACAGAGGAAGCTCATCTGCTTGGGATACCTGAGAAACACTAACTTCAAATGTTCAGAAAACCAACTGTAAACAGGGCCTTAGGCACCAACAGTACGAGTAAGGCAATATCACAGTCATCTGAACAGGAGGAAAAGGGAGCTCGAGCTGTTAGTTCCATAAATCCATCAACCTGCAGAAGTGGTAAATTAATTAAAAAAAAAAAAAAATCAGTTTCACTAGATAATCTGCATTTTCTCATATGTCTTAGGAGCATATTTCCCTCCACTGGCTGCGAGAACTCTGCACAAAAAGAAGACACAACATCAGCAGGCAGTGGGATGTTAAAAGCTAACTAACTAGCTCTATTCAAATCTCATCTTTTGGTCCATGGGTTTTTATGCTTCCATAAGTGATTTATGAAAGCATTTCTGAAAGTCGAAACAGGCAAAACAAAACAACAAAACAGGTAATCACTTACCAATTATTATGGGCTGTGGCTCACTTTTTACTCCCACACCTGCACTGGTGCTTGCAGCAACTTCCACGCGGTACTGAATACCTGGATATAGGCCACCTATTACTACAGACCGAATGGCTGCATCTACTGTTTTGTTGATATGAAATCGAGTCTCATTACCTAGGCACCAGATCTGGGACAAAAGTTGATGTGTTAAAAAATACGAAATTCTTCATACTCATAAACAATCGCGCATAGATACGACATATCAAGGTATTGCATGACAATCACTTGGTTTGGAGTTCTTAACAATGTTACCGTCCAGGAGCAGCTGGAATTGGAATGATTTAGCTCAGCAAGCTATCCCACATTAGCATAGGACCAAGCCAGCTGCAAAGACTGCTTGCAAATACCCTCTGGACTCTGGCTCTCCATGGAGTGCGAATTCTGCGGTTACACTACTTAGAAGCACAGACCAGAATCATTCAAGTGAAAAAGAGGCGTTATACATTAATTGAAATCTTGTTCAGTAATGAGATTACCATCAAACCTTTCCTAAAAAACCCCCACATTTTTTTAATTCTGAATTTCCCTCTGAATAGCAAAAGGATACCAAATAATACAAGCACACGTTGAAACATTTCTTAAAGTACTAAACAAGAAACAATTTTCAAAATTCTTTTCAATTTCCTTTCACTGCACAACAGGGATATGTGAAATTTCTGAAATGGAATAAGTACAAACTCACTTTTTACTGCTTACTTATGTTGTTCAGGAATCCAGATATCAGTTCCTGACTCAATTACTCTCTAATTAAACAGAAAAAACACTCTATAATCTCAATTGGCATTCTGTGATGAGAACAGTCTATGATTTCAGAGTGTTATGTCTCCCTCTTGCATTTTTCCATAGGCTTTTCCCAAGAAGTTTCAAAACTAAGACCTTTTAGGGATTCTTCTTCAGTTAATGTTATCTGCATATACTGCTTCTGTATTATTGAAGACTACCACTCAAGAAAATCAATGCATAAAGATATCACATGTACACTACGTAATTATAATAGCAGAAGAAAGCACTAGTGGTGGAACCACTATCAGCAACCACCTGATGCGTCTAAGCAACAGCAATGCTTTCTTTACCCTTATTTTTGACCCTGCTCAGTGTTTTATCACACTATCTTTTTTCTGTGAGACACTGAGGAAGATTTGGAGGCCAAAAGAAACCCTTGCTCTCCTAAGCGCAAGTAGATCTTATTTGCAGGCCAGAATGCATTTGGGTGAGAAACTATTGCATTCGTTCCTGTTCTGAGGTTACAAACAGCTATGAGATGCCCCTAATTAAAGGCATTTAATTCATAAATTTACAGGCACCCTGATGCTTGAAGTGGAATCAACAGATCTACATTCAATTTGTTAGAAAATGTACTGTGAAACCTCAGCAGTCATTTTATACTCAAGAAAGTATTAGACTTTTCGCATGACATTCACTGTAGCCAGCTCACTAATCAGGCAGACACCTAATCTAACACAGAAGGGATGTAACAGGTAGTGACTCCAGCTGTTTTTATAAACAGCCTAGAGGTCTGAGCACTCACCTGGAACATGGCTTTTATTAACCATCAGCACACTTTGTTTCATATCTACATATCTTGTGGTTTAGGAGTCTGCTTTACTTATTTGCCTATAAGCCCTTGATGGTTAATATTGACTTATACTGGAGTCAGTATCAAGATTAATTAAGCCAAAAGATAATTATTAATTGATATGAAAATGAGATCAATAAAATACTGGGATTAATAAATCTTGATATTGACTAAAAGCAAAACAAAAGAAGTGCTACACTAAACATAAATATTGTGAGCATTTACTGCATCTCTCTGACCAAGTGATAAGCTGGAAGAGGCTGAACCATTAGTTGATTTAAAAATCAAGCACTTTCTCCCTTCTTGATGCTGATCCCCTCAAGATACAGCAGGGGAAAAAAATTACATCTTTTTGTGTGAAATAAGCTGCATCCACCACTTCCACCCTTTGTGGGATTGTCAAGAAAGCTGCCCTGCTCTGTTTCAATTAAAAATTTCACACTAGGTATACAAGCCAGGCACAGCAAAGCTATTTAACAAACAGTGTGTTCCATGGTCACAAGCCTGTGACAATGCTGAACCTTGCCTGATCATTTTCTCCATAGTCCTCCACCCCAATAACACACTGCACTTTTTCCATGTTGTGAAAATATACTTGTGCAAAAGTGAGCTTAGTGGGGAATTATAGACTACAACAAAATTTAAGATGATATATAAGGAGTAGATACTTTGAGCCATCATAGCAACAAAGAAGAAGAAAGTATAACCAATGCAGGCAACTCTCATATAACAAACTCTGGATATAGCAGTGGTGTTCAACCTGTTCCTCAGAGCAAAAAACCTAGCACTTTAAGTTGTGAATCTTGGCAGAGAGAGTATTTGGAAGAAGTCTTGTATCCTCCCAGAGCCACAGTCTTTGACTTTGACCTTGAAGTGTTAGGATTAGCATTTTTGCAGGGGAAAGAAGAGGTATCTTTCCTGTCAGCTCTTCTGCCAGATTGAAGGCACTCTAAGACAGGGATGTCACCACCTGTCTTCAGAGTGCAGAAGCTCTTAACAAAAAAACCCCTTCTTCTTGTTCCATAGCAGGGAAAAGCAAGAAAGAGAAGCACTGTAAGCTAGCTGGCAATTACAGCTCTCTTCCAGATCTAGCTCATGTTTTTTTTTGCTTTTAAAGTAACAGTAGTACTGCTTAAAGAAAAAAAAAAAAATTCCATAAGCAGTCAGTCCTCTTTCTCCATGTAATTATATGGGCAGCTGTAAATGCTCTCAGAATCTAAACCCATAAACAGCACTATTGTTCTGTAATTCAAGCAGGCTGTTTCCTTAAACACACAACCCTCCCATTAGACATCATTTCTACCTTATACTCCTGGATGACTCCATTTTGGTGATCTGGAGGGGGAGGATCCCAGGAGATGCTGATGCTTGTGCTGTTGTGGTTTCCAACTGTCAGGACAGTAACAGACTGAGGAGGGGCACTTGGAGCTACACCAAGGAGAGGGAACAAACAGAAGCAAGACATTAATCCATTTGCTAGAGCACAAAATTTGCTGAAACAGTGTAAGAGCAAGCTGACAGTATACCAAGTTCACACTCCCTGCAGGCCTAGGTATGCGTATATTGTTAGGCACTGACAATTTTGAAAAATGCCTTTCTGAAGAGAAGCATAGCACTGAATGACAATGTGGAATTTGTGTCAACGGAGATTCAATACAAATCACTCCTCATTTATTTATATTTAGAATTTTTAAGTTTGCATTGGAATTATTCTCACACTTACATTTGTTTTCCATAATATGCATGGATAGCTACAGATATATCAACTAAATCATAATGTGAGGCTGCTTCACCTGGCCTGAAAAGTGTTTTGCCTCTTCCTTCCCCACATGATCTAATAATAATGTGAGCAGCAGACGTTTAAGGATCTTTTTTGTTTCCTATTTGTTGTCCAGGAGGACATTAACTTAACAGGTTTGAACATAAAACCTTGCAACTCCTAGGTGGAAAAGGGTTAAAGTGTTCAGGGCTTTACATCAAATGCCAGTGAATAGGGGAGGTGCTAAGTTAGGTCAGATATATACTTATGTCCTCTTTTCCCTAGGCAAATTGCTTTCTCTTCAGAGTCCTGTTCAGTTCAACCATTCACAGCTGTTTGGCTGGTTGCTGCGTATCAAGGCCATATCTACAAGACAATTGCTTGCCAGCCCTACTACGTTGGCTAGAAGTGTGAAAAAAAAAATCATAGCTGTTAGTGATCAGAGCTATGCTGGCAAAGCCCCTCTTGCAGCTACACCAGCAGCAGGGTGCTTTTGTTGGCTCAGGACATGTTGTTTGGGAAGTGGCACAGGAGCTCCGCTACGGAAAAGTCCCCTCTGTGAGCATCTGCTGCATCTCCACGCGGGGGCTCTCCCACCACAGCTATAGCTGCCATGGCAGAGGGCTGTGGCATATGTCCCTCCTGTCACTTAAAACTTCTTGTGTCCCTGTCCTCCCCCGCCCCCCCCCTCGACTTTTAGGCAGGTGCTGAAACTCCACTGCAGCGGCAAGCGAAGTCACCAAAGTCGAGTGTATTATATTAAGGTATAGTCCCTGGAGAAAAAAATTATTGATAATAGCTGCACTGAACAGGTCCTAGGATCCATCTAGTCCATTTATCCCAGTCCATTTATCAAGTCTTCAACAAAACTAATAGAAAGAGGCTAGGAAAGTGTGAACTAATAAAGCGAGCGTATGATACCTCTCCAGGACAATTTTCCAATTCACAGAAGACTGTTGCTTAGACACTTTCTGTTCCAGGGCAATGTCTTTGTGTTTAATAACTTTTCATGGAATTTTTCTTCCATGTATTTGTCATCACCTTTAATATGATCTTAAAACATTTGATATGAAATATGGAAGCTTATTTTGAAGACTTATAGTAGACCTTGTATCAGAACCTAAAATATTTATCACTCCTCCCTGCCCCAATTTCAAATCTAGATAGCCCTCTGGTTTTGGGCATCTCAGGTCGTGTGTCATGGCTTCCTGACTCCAGTCTTCTGGTCTAGACTATTCCTATCCAGAGAGGGCTCCTTCCCTGCTAAGCTCTATGGCAACAGGACTCTAGTCTTGTCTTTAACAGATATTCCTCACTGCATGAACATCCTTGGACCACACTTTGGAAAAGCAAAGAGCTACTGGCACCTTTGTGTTGAAGTCTGGCAGGTTTAACACAACTAAACACAGCCACAGATATTTGGAGTATTCAAGTTTCCTGAGTCAATTCAGATTTCCTTATTGTTCCCTGTGGCCTCTTTGAGACTGGCTATGTTCCCAATTCGGATGCTCCTCAGCACTTGACCTGGCACAGGCTCAAGGAGCTGAGCTCAAATCCTCCCTCTGATAACCCTGAAGAGTTGGAGTAGCCTGTTGTGGGAATCACACAACTTAAAACTAGGGTAGCAGAGGTGGGGACAAGGGACCGTACAAGATTACATCAGAAAAAAAATATTTTAGAGGAAAAATGACACATGTATTACTGTCCTGTGAGGCTGCCCATTTTGACAACTACATTTTCAGATGCTGGTTCAGCTGCAGAGCAAACAGTGCTTGGTAGAGTCCTTGTGACCTTGAATGATGCAGAGATACAGTGTACTGGAGAGAAGAAATGGAGCTGTGTTGTGGCCAATTTGACTCTTAGCCAGCTCAAGTGAAGCACGGAAAGGTGGCCTTGGGCTACTCCTTGCAATCGTGCAAAGCATAAAATTGGTGAAGTTAATAGTTGCATTGTGTATTTTATGGCAAGTGAAATAATTTGCCACACAGTAAAAAAATTAGCATTTTAAAAGTCTTCAAGTTATTCAATAACAACAAAACCATGAATAAATGTGTGTGTGTGTGATATTAATTAGAACAACATTCCACATGAAAATAATAACGTAAAAATAGCAAAGCTTAACACTGTATAGCTCATTTTTGTTTTTAAGTACAGTGGAACAACTTGCTGAAATGTATTTACTTTCATCCTCAAACACAAAGGACATTCAGAAATATAATTTCTTATATACACATACCTGGAAACGCAGAGAAGGAACGAGAGAGCGGAGAGTAAATGCTAAGGAAATGTAAAATGAATACCGTACTCTAACATTTAAAGAAAAACATACTGTATTCATTTGTCTTTGCATTTAAACTACATGAATATTCTATTTAATATTCTACCAGTGCATGTTTTTTTTTTTGTAGGATATATGGTAAGTTTGACGCAAAATTAAAATTGCAGCTCATGAATGCAGCTGAAAGTACCATTTTAAGAGCTGTACTAAGGCAAGAAGGAATTGACAGCAGCTGATGAAAACTAAGGAGACTTCCATTACCGACTATCATATTTTTGTGGTGACAAACAATATGCAGAACAAATACTACTCCACAAAGTTATTCCAAAAGACATTTAAAACAGTGGATGTAATTGCAAAAAAAATCATCTATCTTTAGAGCAGGTGTGAAAGAAATAGTGAAAATTATAAAATAATGTATTTTATTTAGCTCCTTTTTGTATGTGTATACACACATATGTATATAACAGCGCTGCATCCTCTCTCTAACAATACCACTCTGTAAGCTGGCACCGTGATACAAATTAAACCACTTGTCTGACACTGCTGCAGTTATTAAATAGACCACATTGAAAAATAACATTTTTAAAACCGTTTTCTCATTTCCTTTGCTGCTGGCTTGTGGAGAACACCTTGCCTGCTTCTTGACAGGTCAATTATTCCAGTGCTCAGCTTCTTCTTACAGATATGAAAGAACCCAAATCGCTGCTCATCTTTTCCAGACGCAGCCAAACAGAATTCCATTTTTTACCTTCACAAGGCCAAAAAGGCAGGAGATGGATGGATACTGAACTGTGACAAATGTCTGATCTAGAGGAAAAGTCTAACTGCAGCAAAATTGATTTTTGGAGGCAGGCCTCAGAAGTAACATTGCATGTAAAATTCAATCCAGCAGAAAGCTGCCACTACCTTTTGGTCGTACTTTGCCTTTACCAGGGTTATTTGTTTTGATGTTGCAAAAAACTTCCAATGCGCGTATCACTCTTCCAAATTATTTTCTAAAAATAGCATAGCTGACATTTTTTAAAAGTCAAGTCTAAACAAGCTCATTTTCAAAATGGAATCACAGGCGACACAGCAAGTGGGATACCTTTAAAGAGACTGCCATCTTTCTTCATTGGATGAGAAGCAAACCACTGTCATTAAACATTTAGTTGGTGTTATTTTTGAAATATATGAACACCAATATAATTACAAAGGTAATGTGAGGAATTAAAGGAAATATCTGTAGAACCATAGCTACTGAATATCTTAATTTTCTCATGGAAGTACCTATCTTTGTCACCCAAGCAAGAGGAAGAATTATTTACAGGGGCTGACAGTTGTCTGGTGATAATACTACGTGTTATAGGCCAATGTTTTTTTGAGAGAGATACTTGTAAACAGACTCCTTGAAGGTTATATTAATCTACAAAGCGGATCCTAGGCTGTGAGTTATACATATCTGTAGGCAAGAAAAGTTTTTTAAATCTTCACTATGTGGAAAGTTATTCCACATGAACAAAGTGGCCTTTAAAGTAGGAAATTACCTGACAGGCTCTACTGGGAGCTGAGGTTTATAAAAGAAAATGTCATTCCTCAAGTATTTTATAGAACAAGACAGGAGGTACAAAATCTTCTTTCTTTTTCAGTAGTTCTTAATTTACCTTTAGCAAGAGACTGTTAGATGAACTAAATAAGCAACAAAAATCAATTGAAATTGGACAAGAAGAAAATCTGCTAGTGAGGGGACAAAATCCTACATTTTAACTCTAGAAAAGCAATTTCACCTGTGGAAAGCTTTTTTCAATTTTCTTTTTTTTTTTTTTTTTTTTTAAAGCTTTGTTCAGGCTGCTGCAAAGATATTCTTTTCCAACTGATTTAGGCTTTATAGTCTGAACAAAGAAATGGGAACCATAAAGTCCCAAATTCTAAATCAGACTGGAACAATGCCTTCCTACACGCTCTTCTACATGTTGCAGGACACTGAATTTCCTCATCTACAAAGTGCAAAGGGCAACACAAGTAAGGATTACTTACTTGTTGGGCAATAATCATAACAAATCAAAGAGAAAAGTAACAAGTGAGTCCATTCTAGAATTAAAAAGTACTTGGCAATCAGCACTAAATTAAACCTCAGGAGACTACTGTAAATGATTAAGATGCATATTTT